CTGGGTGCCAGTGAAAACAGTAAAATCTTTCACTGTCCAACAGTTTATTCACAGATGTCCCTCACAGATGAAAAATCCCTTGTCCATGTCTGCTCGGATTCTGGATACAGAGGCTACTGGTCACAAGTGACCATATGTTTCGTGCAGGAGGACTTCCCTGAAATTGACATCAGTGGCTGCAGTTTCCAGATAAAAAAAATCCAATTTGGGATGGACAGAGCTAGGCCAGTCTGCAAGTCACTTTCTCTGTCACACACTCCATCTCTCTCTCTCTCTCTCTCTCTCCCCCTCTGTCACACACACTGTCTCCCTCTCTTTCACTGTCTCACACACCAACTTTCTGTCTGTCTGTCTCTCTCTCTCTCTCCATTCCACACACCGTTTCTCTCTGCCACACACATTGACTCTCTGTTTCTCTGTTTCTCTCTCTCTTTCTCTCTCTCGCTCTCTATCACAGTCACTGTGTTTCTCCCTCTGTCTGTGTCACACACACCATCTTTCTGTCTCTCTTTCTCCATCCCACACACCGTCCCACACTCTCTTTCTCTCTCTCTCTGTCACATACCTTGTCTCTTTGTCTCTTTCTCTCTCGCTCCCTGTCACAGTCACTGTCTTTCTCTATCTCTCTCTTTGTCACACACCGTCTCTCTCTCTCTCTGTCACACACTCACTCACCGTCTCTCTTTCTCATCTCTTTCTGTCACTTCCTCACTGTCTCTGTCACACCCTCAATCTCTCTCTGTCAGCCCCTCTCTCTGTCTCTCACTCTCTGTCTGACAAACACACACTCTTTATCATACCCTCTCTCTCTGTCACACTCTATCACTTCCACTTTCTGTCTCTCTCTGTCACACTTTCTCATTCTGTCTCTGCCTTTCTCTCTCTTTCTCTATCTGTCACAATCTATCTCTCCGTCTGTCTTTCTCTGTCATTTGCTCTCCCTCTTTCTCTGTCACACTCTCCCTCCCTCTCTGACCCTCTGTCTGTCACTCTACTTCTCTGTCACACTCTCTCACAATGTCACTCTCTGTTTGTCACTCTCACTGCATCTGTTTCTCTCTGTAAGTTTCTCTCTCTGTCTTTCTTTGTCACAGATTCTCTCTGTCACACTCTCTGTCTCTCTGTCTTTCTCTGTGACTGTCTTTGTCTCTTTGTCACACACTCTGTCACTTCCTCTGTCTCTGCCACGCATTCTCTCTATGTCAAACGCTGTCAGAATCTATTTCTCCCTCTCTCACTGTCACACACTTTGTCACTCTCTCTCTCTCATTCAGTGACATATTCTCTCACAGTGCCACTCTTTCTTTCTGTTACACTCTGTCACGCTCTTTCAATGTCTCTCTCTCTCTGTAATTTTCTCTCTCTCTATCTCTGTTGCACACCGTCTCTTTCTCTCTCCCTCTGTCACACTCTCTCTGTAAGGAGGTTTCTTCACCATCATTGCAAGGTCTATCCCCGTGTTTTTTCTTGTTCCCCCAAACGCTGTTTAAACGCTTCCCCAGGGATGAATTTCTAATCCTGGGTCGTTGCTGATTTTCTCAGTCACGAAGTGAGTGTGACTAACATTTTATCCTTGTCCTTCTGTTCCTAGCTCCAGTCACCTTGGACCCTAATACAGCCCATCCTGCCCTTCTCCTGTGTGAGGACCTGAACACTGTGAGAAACATGAAGAATCGGCAGCAGCTTCCCAACAATCCGGAGAGATTTGATCGCTGTGTCTCTGTTCTGGGATCAGAGGGATTCACATCAGGGAAACATTCCTGGGAGGTGGAGGTGGGGAACAAGACTGACTGGGATATGGGTGTGGCCAAGGAATCCATCAACAGGAAGGGAGATGTCGAACTGTATCCTGGTAACGGATACTGGACAGTGATTCTGAGAGAGGGGAATAAATACTTGGCTGGTGAAGATTCATGGAAACGTTTAGAGCTGCGTGTGAAACCGAGGAAGATCCAAGTCTGTCTGGATTATGAGGGAGGGAAGGTGTCCTTTTATAACTCAGAGAACAAGACACATATCTACACTTTCACTGAGACATTCACTACGAAACTCCATCCTTACTTCAGTCCATTTCTTACTGAAGGGAATAAAAACACAGAGCCTCTGAAGATCTGTCCACGGAGAGTAACAATCCAGGAGGATGAGGGATTCATCTCTTCATCCAAATAAAGACTCTTCTTGTAAGGAGAGAGGGGAAGATCCCACACATTGCGTCACTGGATGAGGGAGGGTAAGATCCCACACACTGGGTCATTGGGTGGGGGAGGGGGAAGCCCCCATTCTCTGATTTTGGTTCCGGGGAGAGGAGGGTGGGGACTGGTTCTGGGGATGGGGCTTTCCCCTGAGTCACTGTGTGAGCTGGTGCCTGGGGCGGAGTGGGGCCCTGAACCAGCGGGACCCTGACTGATGCTCGGAGTTGTCACTGCTTGTCAGCTCTGCCTGCTCTGCTCGAAAGAGCACGGGGGCCTGAGCAAGGACGGGAGGCAATCGAGTCTGTGCTCCCACCAATATGTCACTGTCACTGGCTGAGGAGAGGGCCCGGGCTGCCATGGTAACCAGAGTCAGGGATGGTTGAGGAAGTGAGCTGGATGTCACTGGGAGAACAAGTCCGACATGTGTCCTTGGAGAAGCTCCAGCTCATGGGCAAAGCCATCGAGAAC